GGGGAGGAGTGTATGCTGGGGCTCAGGAAAGCCCCCAGAGGCCGCTGGCTCAGCTTCATTCAGAGTGGCCTTGGGGTCTCTGCAGAAGTCTCCATGAAGCCAGGCGGCCCCAGGTCAGAATGCCTTGAGGGTTCCCCATGATCCAGAGGCTGGACAGGAGTGGCTGGGTGACGAGAACTCTGCCTGCTTCTTTGGCACCTGAAGTGCCCGGTTCCCAGCCCTGGTCCTGTGTCTTCAACTTCCCTTCCATCTCATGGTCTCCCAAAGGTTGGCCCAGAGGCCGCCTCCACCTCAGGATGGGGCTGACAGGGACACGGCACCTGGGTCCCCACAGGTGGAGAAGACAGAAGTGGAGGGGAAGAGCTCCATCTTGTGTGGAAGGCTGGCCGAAGCACAAGCACAGGGCCCAGCAGGCTGGACAGTGCACACCTTCAATCCCAGTTGCTTCGGAGGCTGGGGCAGCAGCATCACAAGTTCAGCACGAGCTGAGCAACTTAGTGAGACCCTGTCTTTTGATAAAAAATAACAATAAAAAGAGCTGGGGATGTGGCTCAGTGGTAGAGCACCCTTGGGTTCAGTCCCCTGTGTGTGTGTGTGTGTGTGTGTGTGTGTGTGAGAAAAGGAACAGGCCCCTTGGGCTGGGGTGGTGGCTAAGAGGTAGAGCGCTCCTCTGGCATGCGTGAGGCCCTGGGTTCGATCCTCAGCACCGCATAAAAATAAAAAAATAAAAGATATTGTGTCTGCCTATAACTAGAAAATAAACATTAAAAAAAAAAAAAAGGAACAGGCCCCTGAGACTGAGCCCCACCTACCCAAAGACCACCTGCCCTACCAGAACCTCTCCTTCCTCCCCTCATGCAGCCTCTCCTGTGACTGAAACCCTGGACTTCCTGGGACAGTTCTTATTTGGCCCTGATTGATTTTACATCACTGCTTCGAAGGCCCCCAAATCTCCAAAATGGCTCCTCACAAAAGTAGCATGCACCCTTATTCAGGAGGCTTCTTGGTGGTGGTGGTGCAGTCCTGAGGATGGAGCCCAGGGCCTTGTAGTTGCCAGGTAAGAAGGGCTCTGCTGCTGAGCCACACCCCCAATCTCATGAATCCTGGTGGAAGTTTATAAAAGTAGGTTTCTGTCTGTCCTGCATTTTTTTTTTTTTTTTTGGTACCAGTGATTGAAACCCAGGAGCACTTAACCTCTGAGCCACATCTCCAGCCTTTTTTAGTATTTTGAGACAGGGTCTCGCTGAGTTGCTTAGGGCCTTGCTAAGTTACTGAGGCTGGTTTGAACTCACGATCCTCCTGCCTCAGCCTCCCAAGCCGCTGGAATTCCGGGAGGGCACCACCACACCCAGCCTGTCCTACATTCTTGCTGACTCCAAAGCTCCTATCCTGGAGCTCAGCTTGTAGATGTTCAGGTACAAGGGCCAAGTTCACAGTCAGATTGGGCTCTGCTCTTAACATAGAGCTCCTTTCCTCACTGTCCACAGGTATCCTCCAGTGCTAGAGCACTGCCCTCTGTTAGATGGACACCTGGGCTCGGGTGGAGGGACACCACCCTCTTTCACTTGTGGGAAGAACCTTTATGTGGCAACTCCCACCTTCATATCACCGGAGAAGTTCATTTCAGTCCCCCTGTGGCTGGCTTTTCTCCCACTTAAAGTGGGGCTCCTTAACAGGTAGTGGATGACCCAGGGAGCCAAGGACAAAGTCCTGGACCTGGCTTGGGGCTTGCAAGACACAGAGGACCCCTTGAGGGCATCTCTGCCTAGTAACTTGCTCTGCTTTCAGAGCACCATGACTTTTTCTCAGGACTCTGGAAGACAACTGGCCTCAGAGACACTTGTGCCAGTCCATGGGGTCAATACGATGTGGGCAAGAAAAAAAGATGGGTGGGGGTTGGGAGGGGAGTGGCTACCAGGTAGGACAGAGTGGGAAGATCATCCACCACCGGCCAAGTCTAAGCCCAGGGCACACAGGCTCTGCCAAGGGAACTAACTTGGGCAGGCCACAGGCTGGGGACAGGACAGCCGCAAACGGGAGCCCACAGCCGTCTGACCCCTAAGTCAAAGGGGGCTGGAATGAGGGGTTGGTAGGAAGGGCACAGGTGACCACTTCTCCTGGGCCCAGTGCCTGTTCCGGTGACCCTCGCCATCCTCCGTGAGCTGGCAGACTCCACTGGCCATCAGACGGCGGGGACACAGACAATGGTGCTCTGTCCCCGGGCGGGCGGGCGACAGCTCATCCCTAATGCAGTGACCGCCTCCCCCACCCGGGCCGGGCCGCCGGCCTCTTTCAGGGTGGAGGCCGGGAGGCGGCGGAGAGCGTTCTCACAGGCCGTTGGGCATTTGCATAGCCAGCTCGCCCTCCCGCCCGCCCGCGCGGAGACATTGGCCGGCTTTGTTCCCGGCGGCGGCGAGGGTGCCCGGCCGGGGCGCGCGGTGGACGGCGGGGAGCGGCGGGCGGCCAGACAAAGGGGCCGGGAGGGCGGGGGATCCCGACGGCGGAGAGCGATATCGGGGTGAGGCGGGGGGACGCGGCTGCCCCGACGGCCACCGCCCGGCACTTGGGACACCCACGCCGTGTCTAATTCTGCCGGAGCTGGGGCTGCCGCGCGCCGTGATGTGAATCCCAATCCGGGGGATCCCGGGCCTTTCCCAGGCTGCGCGGGTTCGGAGCGCAGCGCCGGGTCCTCCAGAGGTCAGGGGGCAGCTCCCGACGCCCCGTCCAGGAGGCTCTGGTTGCACAAGCACAGAAGCACCCTGAAGTCCCTGGGCCTCCTACCCAGATGTCGTTGGACGGGCAACCCTGTGGTCAGCCCATATACTATACGCTTGCTCCAGGCCAGAACAGTGGCTGCTTCCAGAGAGCTGTTCTGCAATGGCTCTCATCCTGACCCCAGCACAGCCCAGCACTCCCTGGCCCCGGAGTGTCCTCGTCCATCATTATCCCCAGAGCTCAGGCACTGGGGCTGGACAGAGTTCATGAGCGGGCAAGTGTCCGATTGTCCTGCATTGAAACTAATAATGGTGGTGATCAGAGGGGCTGTCCTCAAGGGGCAGAGCCTCATTGTCCTGAATGGGTGAAGAAGGAGCCCCCTTGGCCCCTGCATCCCCTTGACCTGCTCATTGTCACCCTGTTGACCCAGCCTGAATGGATGGGCCACCGTGTGGGGGACCAATAGGGCTGAAGCCAGAGCTACAGGCAAGAGCTGGGGGTGGGGGCTAGCTCTTGTATATCAAGGGGCTCTAAGGACACCTGTCTTCTTGCCCTCCGAATTCCCTGGCTGAATCAGTAATGGGATGATGAGCCCCTGGCCCAGACCTCCAATAATGGCTCAGGTGGATGAAATGGAACAAGCTACCTACCATGTGCCCCCACATGTGGGGGAAGGAAAGGAGGAAATAAAGTGAAAATAGGAGCATAGTATGGTGGCACTCAGTGTCATTGCTGGAACCATGGGGGACTTCAAGGGAGTGATGGAGCTTGAAACTATCTGGCTACAGAACATATAGGGCCACCTCTCAAGGAACAGCCCTCACGCCTTCCCTCCTTTCTCAGACCTCTTGGCAGGCCATCCTGGGACTCGTAGCCATTTGTCCCTTAAAAATTGGTTTGGCAACTGCTCTCTTAGAGGGCTCGGTGGTCCCTTCTCCAGGAAGACTTCCTGGATCAAGATGGGTGGTTCACCTCAGTTGGAGGTGCCTGAAACCAAGAAGGAACCATTCAGGGCTGGGGTGGTGGCTCAGGGGTCGACTGCTCCCTAGCATGGTGGGGCACCGGGTCAGATTCTCAGCACCACCTATCAATACATAAACATCCATCCACAACTAACAAAAATATTCAAAAAATAAAACAAAGGTATTATGTCTATCTACAGCCCCAGATATTAGAAATAATGGAACCATCAGTTAAGGGACAAGGTAAGGCTATAAAATGTTGATGTCAAGAATAAATAAAATCCATCTCTTTCCCTACCCAGAAGAGGCTGGGCAAGGGCGGGGGCTATCCTATACTTAAATTGCCCCGGGAAGTCCTCTTTCAGATCTCTGTTGGAGCTTTGCGGCCAAGATGGGTGAACGTGCTGGGCCTCTACCCATGCGGAGCTGGGAGCTGAGACAGGGTGGAATGGGAGATGAGGTCTCAGCTCTCCCAAACTCGCTCCTTCTCTCCCAGCAGGGGCTGGCAGTGACAGAAGACCTTTTTGCAATCTCAGGAGTCAGTCTCCTGCCTCAGCCCAGGGATCTTCACCCCCAACACACCTACCCCAGCCATCAGGGGTCAGGGGAGGCTGGGGCAAAGGAGGCAAGGTCCCCCGTTCAGTGTTGGGAAGGGGATGTCAGCGTACTGGAAGGATGGATTCTCTATAGGGTGAGAGTCCTGAAACCCCCGGCCTCTGCCTGACATGTAATGGGGAGAGGGTGGGAGCTCAAAAAAGGTATGAATTCTTGGTAGAGAACCACAGAATGGTAGCCAGGAAGACAGCTTCTTCCTCTGCTGGATCTGGAGCGCCCCCTGGTGGTCGAATAACTTCAGGCTACAGGAGGCCCTGGCCCACCTTTCTTGTCCAGTGCCACAGACCCATAGGACCCAAGGCCCTTCCTGTCCTCACTCCTCAATTTCAGGACAGAAGCATAAGGTGGCACCTAGTGATGGCTGCCTGCAGTTTCTGAGGGTTGGTGTCACACAGCTTAAGGGGAAGGCAATGCGTTCCCATGAGGGCCCCCTGGTCCTGCTCTGCTCAGAGGCCACCCCAGTTGAGGGTCAGAGTGACAGCTGAGCTGTGCTGGAACAGACACAGGCTCTCCCTGTCCCTGGAGACACAAGCCCAGGCCAAGGCTCTGTCTCTTAAGACGTGACCTCCTAGAAAGAGATCAATGGACCCAGGGAGGAAGGATTTTTTCACCACTAGGATCTTTTCCTTTCTTCTGGGTTCTAGCGCTGTGAGTTAGAGGGAAGAGGAACTTCCCATGTTCCTAGGACACCAATAAAAGGAGTCAAAATCCTTGGTGAGGGTGGTGTTTATTACCCCAGGGCACTGAGCCTGTCCTAGGTTTCACTGGAACTGAGTGACACTGGCCCAAAGGATTGGCAGGCACTTGTTCTCACTTTGGCTTCTTCTAACCCATGTGCGGGCTGGTAGGGCAGTGGGGTGGGTCATCTGGCCAGGCTTCCCCCACCCAGTTCCCTCCTGTCCCTCCACCCCCTCCAGACCTTCTAAAGGACATCTTCTGGGGTGTGTGTGTGTGTGTAGACAGGGGATGCTGGGGACTGAACCCAGGGTGTGGCACATGCTAAGCATGTTCTTTACCACTAGCTACAGCCCCAGTCCCCGCCATCATCTTCTAAAAAGAGAATATCCTCTCAAGGGCTGGCAGCTGGTTAGGCCCGAGTGTCTGGCTCCTCCACACTCAGGGGTCCCTGGGCTTCATTCTCATACTCCCCAGGCACCTGGAAGGCAGGAAGGGGACCAAGGGAGAGCTCCAGGGAGCTGCAGGCCACAGCTCAGGGCTGTTGGCCAGTGGAGAGAGGCAGACAAAGGAGCAAAGGGCAGTGGGGAGCACAGGAGGTCAAAGGGCATGAAGGCCTGGGGTCCAGGGCTGTGACTGCCTCACCTCCCAGTAGATCTGGTCCTCATAGCACTCAGAGTCTGGGGGGGCATCCAGGCAGGGCAGTCTCAGCAGGAGCCCTGGTGGTGGGAGGGAAGGACACGTGAGTCTTCTCTAACCCCAGCCCCCAGGAGAGGTTGCCATTCAGCACCCCAAGGGCACAAGGGGGCTGGAGGCATGAGGTCAACTTGGCACCTGGCACAGGAAAACCACAGCTGCAGTTTTTGAGCACCTACTGATGTGCCATGAGCTTCCTGAGAAACCACCACAGCCCTGTGCGGTGGATCTTATCCCTGCATTTCAGACAACGTGACCAAGGCTCAGGGAAATTCAGCCATATGCTCAAGTTTGCAGTTGGTAAGGGGCTGACCAAATTATTATTCTGTCATGAGCCACTGCGTTTTCGGTGGCCTCCCACATAAGAGAAGAAAAGGAGTATGCTGTAAATCAGTTCTTACATGAATGAACTGAACCTAGAGAATGAAAATCTTGGGGTGAGAGCAGGAAAGAAATAATTCCTGAATGAGGAATTATTTTTAAGGTCAGACATCGGGAAGGACTGCCTGACCTGGGACCAAGGGCGGTGTACCTCTAGCCAAAGGTTTTTGTGAAACCTCCATTCTAATGGTGAGCCGGCCTCTTCCCTCCAGGTCTCTGCCTGGGGATAGATGAGCCTGCCCCTGCTGGGCCTCAGCCTGAGGCTGGGCTGCCCTCTAGTGGCCCCAGGGAGCAGCACAAGGGAGCCAGCAGGACAAGAGGGAAACTCAGTGGCACCCAGCTCCCCAGCCTCCCTGACACCAGGAGGGAGCAAGAGCCATTTGTAATCCCCCGCTCTAAGGAGGTTACCCTGACCCCTCCACCTGACCTCTGGCATAAGTTGGACACTCAGTAAGTATCTGTGAGCAAATGAATTAAATGCCAGGGACAAGGGACTCAGGGGCCCTTCCTCCAGAGACTCCCTCTCCTGTTCTTGAGTCCTTGGAGCTCCTACCAGTGTCCCCCCCACCGCCATCCAAGACCACTCACCTCCAAGGCTCCCGCCCACAATGGCCAACACCAGTGTGACCAACAGGCCAAAGAGCTGATATATGGCCTGAGATCTGGCAGTGCGCTGGCCCTCGGCTATGAGTGGGAACACGCTCTCCAGGCTGCAGGGAGACCAGGTTGTGAAGAAGCAGGGGTGAGGGACAAGGATGCAGCAAGAATAAGGGCAGGTCCCATGGTGGACAGCCGAGCAGCCAGAGGGCTTCCGGGAAGCCCCTTAGGCAGGCTCACCTCAGACCTTGGCTTAACCAGGCCACAGCCTGCAACTCCACCCCTCACATGGAACAGACACACACCTTTCAAGGCTCAGTTCAAGGTCATTTTTGCCCACCTCTCCTCTTAGTCCCGATGTGCAAAAACAGATCCCAAGGGTCATTATGTCTTACTGACCCTTTAATAACACTCCATACTCTTGAAATCATTTGTTTAATGACCTCCTGTTGCATTTGACCAGGACAGTGCCTGGATTGGTTTTTTTCACTCCAGTTTCCTTGGCTCCCATAATGTGAGTGGATGGGTGGGTGGGTGGATGGGTGAATGGATGGATGGATAGTTGGTGGGAAGGTGGGTGGATGGGTGAGTGAGTGGGTGGATGGGTGGGTAGGTGGATGGATGGATGGGTGGACAGATGGGTAAGTGGATGGATGGGTGGACAGATGGGTAGGTGGATAGATGGGTGGATGGATGGGTGGGTAGGTGGATGGATGGATGGGTGGATGGAGGGGTAGGTGGATGGCTGGATGGGTGAGTGGATAAATGGGTGGATGGGTGGGTGGGTGAGTGGATAGTGGGTGGGTAGGTGGATGGATGGATGGAGGGGTAGGTGGATGGCTGGATAGGTGAGTGGATAGATGGGTGGATGGGTGGGTGGATGGGTGGGTAGACAGAAGATGGATGGGTGAAAATAGACACAGAGGAACAGAGTGACAGAGGGCATTCCAGAGGGATAATGTCAGCTGTGGATTGGGGGAAACTCACCCATCTCCATAAGCATCATGGGTGGCTAGTCCAGCCACAAGGACCCCCAGAAGGGCCCCCAGGATCCCCGGCATTCCATGGAGGTTGTGGACACCACATGTGTCTTGGATTTTGAGTTTGGATTCAAGGACGGGCTGAGGGAGGACAGAATAAATAATCAGACTCCTGTCCCCTCCCACCTCCACTCTGGGCCTGCTGGGGAGGTGGGAGGAAAGTGACACCATGCTCTGCCCAGGCCAGAGAGGCAGCTGTACCGTTAAGAACTTGTACCCCAGCGTGGAGACAGTCCCTGCCAAGAAACCAGCTGCTAGAGCCCCAAAGGGGGTCAGCATCATTTCGCCAGACGTCCCCACCACAACCCCTCCGGCCAGTGCTGCATTCTGAACGTGGACCTAAGGGAACAGGGAGGGACAGGTCATTGGAGACCCTTTCAAATTATCCACCCACACTCAACACAACCCCTCCACAAGACATCTACTGCTCTGGAAGTCCCTCTGCCATCTAACCTCTAACTCTCCTGCTTTCATAGTCTCCTATTCTGACCCCCCCCCACCACCAGGGTGGATACAGCCCCCCTATGCTTGTTTCCATGGAGACTTCCCTGCAGAGTCTCTCTTCCCCCTGGTAGGTTGTCCCTCAAGGCCTTCTCCCCATACCATGTCCAGCCGCCCGTCCCCACTGATGAGGGCAGACAAAGCAAAAGTGCTGAGGGTGCTGGCCGTTAGGGAGTAGTACGTGTTGAGGGCTGTCCGATGCTGCGAGTCCCCCAGCGCAGTGGGTGCAGAGTTGAAGCTAGGCCAGAAGATCCACAAGAAGATGGTTCCTAAATGATGGGCAGCCAGGCAGAGTGAGAGAAAACGAAGGGCTCCCCCTCATGGTGAGAGACGGTAACTGCAGACAAGACACCTACTCTGCAGCCTGTTTCCTCTGCAGGTGGGGCTGATAATACCTCCGCATAAAGTGAGGATTCCAGGACATGGTGCAGATAAACACAGGCCATGGCCTAGCAGGTACTAAGTGCTTGACAAGGGCTGACGTGCAGTACATTGGTAAAGCTTGTGCCTAGTGCAATCCGCAGTACCACCTGCACCCCCAACCCTTAAAAAAAAAAAAAACAAAACTCAAAAAATGGTATCTATTGAAGGGTACTGGGAACTACGTGATTGCAAGCCACAGAACATTGAGTTTTTGTGTTTTTTTTTTTTTTTTTTGTGTGTGTGTGTGTGTTTTGCCTTGTTGATAGTGAGGCTTGAACCCAGGGGCACTCTCCCACTGAGCTACATTCCCAGCCCTCTTTTTTTAAAATTTTATTTTATTTCGAGACAGGGTTTCTTTAAATTGCCCAGGCTGGCCTTGAACTTGTGATTCTTCTGCCTCACAGGTTCCTGAGTAGCTGGGATTACAGGTGTGCCTATCTGAGTGTTTTGTTTTATTTTATTTATTTATGTTTTTGATGGTGCTGGGGATTGAACTCATGGCCTCACACATGCTAGCCAAGCACTTTACCACTGAGCCACATACCCAGCCCATTTTATTTTATTTTTTAAAGTATCAGAAAAGGAGAGGAGCTAGGCATGGTGGCACACGCCTGTAATCCCAGCAACTCTCCCAGCTGAGGGAGGAGGATCATGAGTTCAAAGACAACCTTAGCAACTTAGCAAGGCCCTAAGCAACTCAGAGAAGCCTTGTCTCTAAATAAAATATTAAAAAGGGCTGGGGGGTGTGCTCAGTTGTGTTAAGCATCTTTGGTACAAAAAAAAAAAAAAAAAAAAAAACAGAGGAGAATAAAGACAAAGGTTACTGCACATGAGGCATTATTCTGGGTGCCTGATATCAGGAAAACAATTTGTTTTAGAACCTCAGCCACCTCCTAGAGAAGGTGGACTCGGCATGGCCTGTCTGCTCAGTAATGCATGTCCTGGGCCTTTGGGGTCAGAATCATGTGTGAGGTTCATGGACCATCCTGTAGGGAGAGGGGGGAAGAGCCAAGGGACAAGGTGCAGGAGATGGCGGAGGCCCCTGCAGGGTGGGCCAGCCAGGTAAGCGGCTTCAGGACTGTCCCTTAGTCTTGAGGAGCCTGCTGGGTGGAACTGCTCCCTGCAGCCCCACAGACTGGGGTAAAATGGACCACACTCACATGGGCTGTCTCTAATGGAGACTGGGGGACAGTGGAGGCAGGGACCAGGGTCCTGCCTCAATGACCTAGACGCTAACAGCCAGAAGCCAGGAGGCAGAGGTCTGAGAATGCCTGGGAATCCTGGGGTAGCCTTTGGACTTGAGGCCAAGCTTATCTGGGTCTCAAAGGTCAAGGAGATTGTAGCTGTCTATTTCACAACAAACCCAGAGGGGGGCAAGAAATACAAAATACAAATACTTTGTTTTCAGTACTAGGGATTGAACCCAGGCGTGCTTTACCACTGAACTACATCCTTAGCACCCTGGCCCCTGTCTTTTTTTTTTGAGACAGGGTCTTGCTAATTTGCCCAGGCTAGCCTTGAACTTGTAATCCTCCTACCTGTTTCCTAAATTACTGGGATCATAGGCATGTGTCTCTCAAAACAAGTCTTTTTTTTTTTTTTTTTCTTTTTCTTTTTTTGTATCAGGGGTTGAATCCAAGGGCACTTAACCACTGTGCCACATCCCTCAGTAGCTCATGGATTGCTGAGGCTGGCTTTGAACTGACAATCCTCTGGTCTCAGCCCCCTGAGCTGCTGGGATTACAGGTGCCATCTTGCCCGGCAGTCCAGTCTCTTTTTAAATGTAAAAATAGGCACTGCAGGCCCTGTTCAATGCCTTCTGTGAAAAATAACATGGATGTCCTCAGAGGCACAGGGCCCCCAGACCAGCCCTACTGCTCGCTGGGGGAAGCAAAGATTCCTCCTACCCTGCCTGACAGTGCAGGGGCTTGCAGGGATGCTAGGGGGGAAAGCCCTCGTGGGTGGAAGACAGCAGCAGGGGCAGGCAGAGGTGGAGACCTGCAGGAAACCAGACCCCCTCAAATGCAGCTCAGCTGGAGCCAATACAGGGGAGGGTGAGTGAGCAGACTGGGGGGCTGTATGCCAGAATGAGGGTCTTGTTTCTAATGTGTGGTTGTGGGGGCCCTCGAAGATCTGAAGCAAGACGGAGGTGGATTTAGAAAGGCCCCTGGAAAACTGGGCATGGTGGTATACGATTGTAATCCCAGCAACTCAGAGGCTGAGGATGGAGGATCCCAATTCCAAACCAGCCTCAGCAACTTAGTGAGATCCTGTCTTAAAATAAAAATTAAAAAGACTAGGGATGTAACTCAGTGGTAAAGCATGCCTTGGTTCAATCCCCAATATAGATAAATAAATAAATGGGACTGGGGGTGCAGCTCAATCTCTGGGTTCAATCTCTAGTACTGAAAAAAAAAAAAAGACAAAAAAGGGGGTCCTTGGGATGGATCTGAGCCAGGTAGGTACCCCAGGTCTCAGTTCTAAGAATGTCATAAAACCATTAAGAATGATGAGCGGTTGGACATGGTGGTACATGTCTGTAATCCCAGCAACTTTTGAGGCTGAGGCAGGAGGATTGCAAGTTGGAGGCCAGCCTCACAACGTAGTGAAGGCCTAAGGAACTAAGTGAAATTCTGCTCAAAATAAAAAATAAGAAGGGCTGGGGGTGTGACTCAGTGGTTAGGCACTCCTGGGGTTCTATTCCAGGAGCGCATGCACACACACACACATAAAGACAAAGAACAGGCACTGGTGCATGCCTGTAATCCCAGTGACTTTGCAGGTTGAGGCAGGAGGATCACAAGTTCAAGGCCAGCAACTTAGAGAAACCCTGTCTCAAAACATAAAAAGGGCTGGGGATGTGGCTCAGTGGTAGAGCAGCCCTGGGTTCAATCCCCAGTACTGCAATGAAAAGAGCAGATTCCAAGTGGGAAGAGTTCCCAGCTAGAAAGCCAAGGACCGTAGGCAGCACCCTAAGACTTCGCCTGGAGCTGGTCTCCTCCATCCCAGATCAGGGGGATCTGGAACCAGCCCCTGAATGGCATCCGTCACAGGAGGCCTCACCAATCATGGCAAAGAGGTCCGAATGGTAGATGGAGCCCTGGCGGTGCTTGCTCTTCTCTAGCTGGCGCCTGTAGAGGACCCTGGACAGGAACAGCCCGAAGTAGGCTCCAAAGGTGTGGATAGTCATGGAGCCGCCCGCATCCCTCACCTGGGGAGAAGGAGTGCAGGTGGAGAGGCAGCCCGCCCTGCCCGGCAGCTCGCCCAGCTCAGAGCCTGGCGCTGGCCACCCCAACACCCTCACCCATTCCTGCAGACTCTCACCCCCAGGAGGTTGAGGAGCACGAACTCGTTGATCCCGAACAGCGCCACCTCCAGCAGGGTCATGAGCAGCAGCTGCGCAGGCCCCGTCTTGCCCAGAATGGCCCCGAAGGAGATGAGCACCGAGGCCGCGCAGAAGTCGGCGTTGATCATGCTGGTGCGCGGGGGAGAGGGCGGGAGAGGGGCTTCGGACACCGGCCGGGAGGGCCAGCGGGAGGCACCTCTCCCCTGGGTCCAAGGGACGGCCTCGCTCCTTCTTGTAGACTGGCCCACGAAGCCCACCAAGAACCAGAACCCAGCCAAGGGCGCCTCTCAACCCGCCCCTTTCTGCGAGGCCATCGCTGCCCCTAGGAGCGCTTGGGTCACAGCGGCCCCCAAATGTGAGCTGGGCTGGTCGTGGGTCAGGGATGGAAGGACACCAGGCAGGACACCTGGGGAAACCAACGGATGGGTCAGAAACAGGGCCAGGGACCAGCCTCCAAGGACAAGGGCTTAACTGTGTCTCTGGGGCAGGAGCCGCCCAGGGGACCCCAGAGCGCCGCTCTCTGCACCGCTGCCCACCTCTCCACGCCGACAAGGATATGGCCGCCGTGCAAGGAGTGCAGGAAGCCCTGCACCAGGGTGGACCACTGCAGGGCCAGGGCGGCCAGGAGGAAGGTGAAGCCCACGCTGCTGAACCCGTAGCGCTGCAGGAAGACCATGAGGAAGCCGAAGCCCACGAACACCATGGCGTGCACGTCCTGGAAGCCTGCGAAGGCCAGGGCCGGTGAGCACCGCGGCGCCCGGGGCACCCCCATAAACCCATGGGCCACCCTGCCACTGCCCCTGGCTCCTGCCAGACAAGGCCGCCTTGAAGCAGAGTCACGCCTATAAAACTCCCCAGGCGTGGCAGGGCCACCCAGCCCTGAGCCACCTGCCCAGAGCCGGCCAGCTTGGAGCAGTGGGACCCAGACCATCCTTGATGCCCCCATGTCAGAGCAAGGGACTAGAACCTTCTGCTGTAAGAATTTTCTCATTCTCTGCCCCTACTCATTTTATAGCTAACTAGTTGAAAGTCCAGTGTGCACCCCGCTCTTTCCTGCAGCGGCCCTGGCCCCTCCAGGGCTCTAAATTCTCTTCCCCTTTGGTTTCTTTTCAACTCTATTGGTAAGTCCTTCTTAATTTCCAACCACCATCCCTATTCCTTTAGAAGCTACAACTAAAAATAATTTGGTGACTAGCTTTAAATTGTTAACATAGATTACTTCAGAGAAAAGGAATTGAGGGAGGGGCAAGGCTGCTTGTAACGTACAACTTCAACAGAAAGAATCCCCTGGAGCTGTCTGATATGGAGACAGGAGGAGGGAGGAGCTTACTTTTTTTTGACTAGGGATTGAACCCAGGGGGGGCTCTACCACTGAGCTACATCTCCAGCCCCTTTTTATTAAAGAGTTTTTTCGCAATACCCTTATTCTACTTATTTATTTTTATGTGGTGCTGAGAATCGAACCCAGTGCCTCACACGTGCTAGGCAAGTGCTCTACCACTGAGCCCCAGCCCCAGCCCCATCTCCAGCCCTTTTTATTTTTTTAGTTTGAGGCAGGCTGGCCTCACTTTGCAATCCTTCTGCCTCAGCCTCCCAAGAGGCTGAGTTTACAGGTGTTCTCCAGATTTACTTTTTTGGTTGTTTCTTTGTATAGTCTGAATATTTTAACTTTATAGATGAATGACTTGAACTTTCAGAGTACTAGTGGGTTTTCTGACAGGAAGATCGGGGGCCTCTTCTGTTCACTTTCTATTCTGTATCTCCCGGCATAAAAAGCTAAGCTAATAAAAATAATACACAGTGATATCAAAAACAAGAGAACTACAAATAATCATTAAGTAATTAGTATTAATTTGTTCTCTTACCTCTTCCCCACATCAACTTCTAAATAGGGTTTGAAGCAACTTAGACATTTCGTCACCTCATCTGGTCCTATTCTCTTTATCTTGGGTCTGTGTCGGTGGAGATGTCAAGCTATACTTTTGGCTATAATAATAATAATAATAATAAAACTAAAGAAAGAGCATCATAAATGCTGTCATTGCATTTGCTTTAAATATTCTTTAGGAAAATTCCACAATGACCTCATCCGATGGGTCACAGTCAAAATGCTGCCACACGCTGGGCTTGGTGGCACCTCCCAGCAGTTCAGGAGGCTGAGGCAGGAAGAGCAAAAGTTCAAAGCCAGCTTCAGCAACCTAGTGAGGCCCTGTCTCAAAATAAAAAATAAAAAGGGGTGGGGATGTCACTCAGCAGCTAAGCACCCCTAGGTTCAATCCCTGGTTTAAAAAAAAATACAGGTACACTAAATTTACTGTACAAATATACTGTATGAAATTACCTTCAGGCTATGTGTATAAAGGTATATATGAAACAAAGGAATTTCTTTAGACTTGAGTCACATCCCAAGATACTTTCGCCTCCTACATATAATAAAGTTCAAAACATCTTAGATCAGGCATATTCATCTTATACACATTTTGGTTGTAAGTGACCCCAAATCTCTTATAGAAAAATTAGATTATAATGGGAAAAATTTTTTTGGTTATTTAATCTGAAGAGGTATCCACAAGCTGGAAAATTGTTATAGCATTTTGTAATGCAATCAATAACTTTGAGAGAAGCTGACTTTTATGCTTTTTAATTTTTTTCTTTTGCAGTACTAGGACAGAACCCAGGCGCTTGTGCATGCTAAGCAAGGGCTCTGCCACTGAGCTACATCTTCAGCCCTTTTTAAATTTTATTTTGAGACAGGGTCCTGCTAAGTTGTCCAGGCTGGCCTGGTACTTGTGATCCTCCTGCCTCAGCTTCCCGGGAGCTGGGGAGGTGTATCCACCACACCTGGTTTTTATGCTTTTTTAAAAAAAAGTGCTATATTTAATGTTGCATAAGAAATAGTTTTGTAAACAGGGGGTTGAGCCTGAGCTGGAACTGGAGGTCTGCAGCTTGGCTGCCAATGCCAGTAGCCAAGGGAGTGAGGGGCTGGAGACCTCCTGGCCTCACTACGTCCCCAACCCTGCACTGCTTCTCCAGCCCCCCTGAGGTCACCCAGAACTCACAACCCAACAGAAGGAAGCCACACGTAGACCTCAGCCTCCAGCCTAGTTTTCCTAAGCCTCGCAGCCTGATTTCTTTTCTCCTTGTACAAATAGTATAGAAGAGGCCATGTCTGTTCTTGTTCCCAAGGACAAGATAATGGGGGGCGGGGCTCCAGCACATTCATACAAGAAACCACTCCAGAACTTGTCTTGAATGGTGACGATGTTTAGAACTCCTTACTCAGGCTTGTTTGGAATCATAACTCGATCCTTGGTCTTTCAACTGTAGTCTAAACATCAAGGAACGCCCTCCCTGGGGGCTGTTCCAGACACAGCTTCTCCTTGAGCTCTGGTGGGTGAAGGGCTATTCCGGTTGAAGGCAGGAGGACAGATAAGGCCTCCCAACATTCCTTTCTGTGTGAGGTGGGGTGCAGCCTACCCCTCCCTAACCCAAGCAATTTTTTTTTTTTTTGCACCAGGGATTGAACCCAAGGGCACTCAACCACTGAGCCACATCCCCAGCCTCCTTTATTTTTTATTTGAGACCGAGTCTTGCTAAATTGCTCAAGGCCTCAGTAAGTTGCTGAGACTGGCCTTGAACCTGTGATCCTCCTGCCTCAATCTCTCAAGTTGCAGGGATTATAGGTATGTGCCCAGCCCCAAGCAATCTTTGGTTAGAGAAGGTAAGAGGCCTCCAGAGCTCTGATTGCTCTCCACCCTTCCCTTACTGGCTCTCCCCAACCCAGCTAGGTGACTTCTATCACAAAGATGGGGCAAGGTGACAGTTAAAGCTGGGCCTTAAGCATCTGACAAAGTCAGACTTAAATTCCAGCCTCCCCACCCACTGGCCACCCCCTGACCTGTGACTTTGGACAAAACACTTAGCCTCTCTTAAGCCTCTGTTACATCATCTATAAAGTGTGAATTTAAAAAGGTATATACAAGGGGGTGGGGAGCAGGGAGGGAGGACCCAGGAGGCCAACTTCTACCATTTCCACTCCACCACACCTACCCTCAGGAGATCAAGGAGCTGTATTCTCCCAGAAGAGGTCACAAGGCACTCTGGTCCTGGTCACATTACCCTATTCCCCCCCTCTTTTTTTTTTGGGAGGGGGTACTTTTGGAACCCAGTGGTGCTCCACCTCTGAGCCACGTCCCCAGCCCTTTTTATTTTTTATTTTGACACAGGGTCTTCCCAAGTTGCTGAAGGTCTTGCTAAATTTCCTGGGCTGGCCTTGAACTTGCAATTCTTTTGCCTCGGCCTCCCGCAGCTGGGATTATAGACATGTGTCCCAGTGCCCTGCTTGCTCCCACCTATCCTAAATCCCTCTTCCCATAGGTAGGATCTCGGGTGTGTCTAAAGTTGTACTGGCTAAAATTAAAAAATAATAAAATTATAAAACAGATCATCCATATTGTTTTCTTTAATATTCATTTTTTTAGTTGTAGTGGACACAATACCTTTATTTATTTATTTTTATGTGGTGCTGAGGATGGAACCCAGGGCCTCACATGTGCTAGGTGAGCGCTCTATGCTGAGCCCCAGCCCAGCCCCCATATCACTTTCTTTCTCCTGTTCCTTCTGTGGCCTGTGCGGCCCTGGACTCCTTTCTTATTTTCCATCCTTAGTCCTGTGGATTGAAAGGCCTGCAGGGTTGGGGAAAGGCTGTGGATGAGGATCCAGAGAACTGGTGCTAGACTGGCTCCTTTTGTAGCTTGCTGTGTGATCTCAGGCAGGTCCCAGGACCTCTCTGGCTCTCTCCCCACATCTGAGAGGGGTTGACCAGATAGGCTCTGAGGGCCCAGGTTACAGATACAAAGAGACCCCTGGGAGTGGACATGCCCTTGACATTGGCAGTCCTGGAGCTCATCAGCAGCTCAGGACTTCCTTTCATCAAAGCGGTGGTTACACCTCCCCCTGACCCTGACCCTTTCCCATGGACATTGGGACAGCTGAGAACCGGCTCTTCAAAGCCCCAGGCTCTAGGGACTTCACACCTCCCTCCAGCCTGACCTTCCCCCACTGCAAGGTCAAAGTCCACCAGAATGGAAACCTGGGGCAGAAAAAGAGGTAGAAATCCCACGGGCTGCTCTGCAGCCGTGTGTCGTGTGTCGTAGAAGAGCCCAGCCCTGCAGCAGCCAGGGAAAAGGATGGATTCCAGGCAGAACTTGGGAACAGGCAGGGCTTCCAGGCCTTGTGTGACATCTACAGGAGAAGCAAGTGGTGGGCCCATGGCAGACAGCCCCTCAGACCTGTCGCCCCCCCCCCCCCCCGCCCCAGTATTGAGGATTGAACCGGGGTGCTCTACCTCTGGACACCCCCAGCCTTTTTATTTTATTCTGAGACAGGATCTCACTAAGTTCTGCAGCCTGGCCTTGAACTTGCCATCCTCCTGCCTCATTCTCCCAAATTGCTGGGATTACAGGTGCCACCATGCCCAGCCGGGTCCCTGCTTTTGATCCCAGCTTCCATGGCTCATCTTTTCCAGTCGAGGCTGGGGACAAAATGTGGGGAGTGAGGAACCGTAGCCCCTTCTGCCTAGGGTGGCTGGGGGTCTGGTGCGTCATGCCCAAGTCCAAGTCTCCACCTGAACCTGTCTATCCTCAGCATCGTGAACTTCATTTGACTGGGACTGGGTCAGGGTGAGGTGGGGACAGCCTGCCACCAGCACTGCATATAGAAAGTAGGGTAATGACAGCCTGGATGTTTTTATAGGAGACTGTCACACCCTGGGCCTTGTTGGAGTTTAGAACCTTCACTCTGAGGTATCCTTCTTCCTGTTGCTCAGATGGGGAAAACTGAGTCTCAAAGAACTGCTCAAGCATTTGTGATGGAGTCTGGCAGGTCTTGGTTCCAAGTGGCTGAGGCCCTGAGTTACAAGGCAGGGTACTCAACATTAAGGGACAGGCTCCGTCCCCATCTACGTGGTGAGGGGGGTTAACCTCCCCCTCTGAACCTTGTCAGTAGGCAAGTGGCCTTTGGTACAAGGAGCTTAGGATGCCTAAGCCTAGTTCCAGCTCTGTCACTCACAAGATGGGTGATGGGTAATGCCCCTCCCATGCCTTCATTGGATGTCTGGGGTTACTGCTCTGTGGTTAGCTGGTAGCTGCTTATGTCATTTTCTCTCTGGCTTAGAAGGGCCAATTTTGGGGTCCTGGGGAGAGACGCCTGAATTCCAACCACTCTTGGATGCTTCCAGGTGTGAAGGTTTCATACAAAATACCTGCCATGGGGCTGTGGCTGTGGCTCAGTGATAGAGCGCTCACCTAGCATGTGCGAGGCACTGGGTTCAATTCTCAGCACCACATAAAAACAAATAAATAAAAGAAAGGTATTGTGTCCATCTACAAATGAAAATTTATATATATATATATAATTAAAAATACCTGCCATTACTACCACAACACCCCCCCTCCCACCCACCCCCCACACCTCTTGCCCAGCTAAATTCTCTTTCCTGTAGTGAGGGCAAAGCCCCTAGAACAGGCCAATTCTCTGGAACAGCCTAGGAAAGCCCAGTTAGGTCAAATGGGAAGTGGGGCAAGAGAATGGCTAAAAGTGGGGCTTTAGATCTGGATTCAAATCCCAACTCCCCTACTTCTTCCTGTGTGTCTATGAATCAACCACTTAACCTCTCTGAACCTCACCTTTGTCTCATAGCCTAAATGGGAAGGCATGTGCCATCCTCAGCACAGTACCCGGAACCTGGCAGGCACTAGAGAAAGGGTTATTTCCAGTTCGGGGCCCCTTCATCTCAGCGAGAGGGTTGCCCACCTAGGGACAGATCTGAGCACCCAAGAGCTCCCTCCCAAGACACCCAGGAGCGTGAAGGGTCTTCAGGTCCCCTCCACGCCCTCACCCGCACTCACTTGGGTAACGAAAGTAAAATTCATTGTTCGCGTAACTGAGGTTGCCCCAGTGCCAGCGGGCAGCGTCGGTTTCGTGGTTGTAGCGGACAAAGATGGCAAAGAGGATGATGGTGACAGCCTGGAAGAGGAGGCACAGCAGGGGCAGCTGCAGTCGCCGGCTCGCGGCGCGGCGGGGAGATCCGGCCATGGGACAGAGGCTGTGAAGTCGCCAGCTCCGGCTGGACTCGCAGCGCGCGGCTCGGGGCTGACTCCGCCGGGAGGAGCCCGGCAGGTTTCGCCGGGCAGAAGCCCCACCCCCGGGAGGCCACGCCCCCGGGAGGCCACGCCCCCGGGAGGCCCGACCTCCGCGGCTCCAGGTCGGAGCCCGGAGCCAGAGCATCGTGCAGCAGGGGTCTGGGCCCACCGCTTGAGGTCGGTGTTCGGACCCCCAGATCCTCTCTCTCTTGGTCCAGTTGATTCTGCCGTTCTTCCGGCCAGGACAGGTCCTTGGAAGTGACCTTGTAAAGGCGCCCCGAGTTCTGTCCTGCTAGGGCACAGCTGTGCTGACCTGGTAGTGGTCAATCTTTACTGAAAAAAGACGAAGATCGATAATGGAGATTAAAGGCTCTCCAGGCAGGACTATTTACCAGGCTGGGCAATGGAGTCCCTTATCCTGTGCCAAGCCTCCCCTGCCTCCCCACCCCCAATCTGAACATCACCCAGTGCAGCAGGCTGAGGGTGGGGTTCGCACACCGAAACCTGCTCCTGGCCCTGCCCAGCGTGATGTGACAGTTCCTGGCTGCCTCTGCAGCTGGAGAGAGGGAGGCTAGCTGGAAGGAGGGTCTTCTCTGTTAGGAGTTGAGTCTCTCTTTACACAAGCAAGATTTGCATCCCAGGGGTCCACAGGGAGGTGGCAGACGTTTACTGAGAGCTGCTGTGACAGGCGATGGAAATGAACCAGAGGGCTCCTTCCCCTAGGAGCCACTGTCCAGCCCTGACATAGACTCTTAGAAAGGTGTGTGTGTGGGTGTGTTACACAGGGGTGCCCTACCATTGAGCTACACCCGGACCCCTTTTTAATTTTTATCTTGAGACAGGATCTTGCTAAATTGCCCAGGCTGGCCTTGAACTTTGATTCTCCTGGTGTGTGACCCAGAGAAGTGCAAAGGCTGTGGGGGTCTAGGAGGAGGGGCTCAGAGCCCACAGGGGTGGGATAATAGAAGAAAGGAGATGGAGCATTGCTGGCCGCAGAGGTGATGTTGGAAGGCAGTCTGGAAGGACAATCTTAGGAACTGGGCAAGGGAAGAAGGACGAGGGGACATTTCCAAGAAGTGAGAGCAGCAGAGACAGAAGTGTGTTCAGGAGCTGAGGCCTCAAAAGCCCGGCTAAAGCACATGACTTCCAGCCAGTGGGTGCTGAGCTACTGAAGGGCTCTAAGTAGGTGAGAGGCCCTGGCACCTACAGTCCATGAGAGGTCTGCCCCTTCTCAGGAATGTCCTTGAGCAGGGATAGTGACACAGCGGAGTTCTGGACCCTCTTCCTTTTCTCTCCTTTGCCCCTTCCCCCAGTTTACCTCTCCCCCTCCCCTCCTCCCCTCAGGGACTTAAGCCTCCAGTCTTGCTTGGATTTTGGAGGACAATTGGATTCTTTTTTCTTTACTTTTTAGTTGTAGTTGGACACAATATTTTTATTTGTTTACTTATTTTTATGTGGTGCTGAGAATCGAACCCAGGGCCTTGCACATGCTAAATGAGCGCTCTACCGCTGAGCCACAGCCCCAGCCCGACAAATGGATTCTTGATTTCCGGTGTTCCTCACCTAAGTGCCCAACCAGGGCACATGAGGAAGCAGGGGTCAGCCTCGGTAGCTTGGCTTCCAGGGGCTCAATAGTCTGTCTGGTCCTTGGTGGCCCCTCCCCAGAGACTTTCTATCTCTCCTTGGTCAGCAGGAAGGCTGTTTTCCGGCCCCCCTAGAGAATGGGTGGGGAGGGTGTCTGGTCATCAGCCTTTGGAGCATGATTCAGCATTCGGGGGCTCCTCCCAGGCCTAACCTTCTGCCCCAGAGACGTCCTGAGCCCCATTTGGAAGCCAGCTTGCTCTGGGCTGTCCCAGCAGGTTCTAGACAGGACCTAAGAGGGGAGGAGTCTTGAAAACCCGAAGAACCAGAGAACAGGGAGAAATGGACTGGGCCCTCCCAGCACCTGGGTGCTACCTTTCTGATTCTAGCTTCCTCCATTTCTGTCACACCTGCTATCTCCCTTTGTCCCTCCACCCCCAAACTGGAGATTGAACCCAGGAACACCCTACCCCTGAACTGCATCCTCAGCCCTTTTTGAGACAATGTGTTGTTAAGTTGCTGAAGCTGGCCTCAAACTTGCCATCCTCCTGCCTCAGTCTCCCGATCACTGGGATTATGGGCATGTCCACAGTGCCCAGCCATGCCCAGCTTGATTTTGCTATTTTAACAATCCATGGGTGCCAGCTAGTATTAGCCCTATTCCAGCAAAGAGCAAAAACCAGTTATGAGGGTGTCCATTCTCCCCCTACCCCCAAGGACTCCCCTGCCAGGCTGCTGCCTGGGAGGTCTACCCTGGATCACCTACCACTAAATGCCGTGGAGAGGTTCAGTCCACATTTTCCTTTTGGATCGCCAGCTTATGCCAGACCCTTGGTCCTCCCTTCCTGCCTTCTATGATCTTGGTAGCTCTGACGTCACGGTGAGGGGCTCCTCCCTTCACTCCTCCCTCTATCCCAGGCCTCAGAGGGGATACTGCACCGCCAGCTCCCATCCTTACTGGTCTGTGGTCTACCCAATCTTTGACCTTCTATCTCTGGTCACCTGTGACCAGCCCAGCACCTGAAGGGTAGCCAAAGGGAACTAGCGTGTGCTGCCCGGCCCAGCCAGGCTGCCCCTGGGACCAAGAAGCTGAGGTTACTGAGTAACTCGAGGTGGCTCAGAGCTGCTTCTACCAGGGTCACCTCTTTCCTGTTCCCAGCTTTCTTAGCTCAAGAATCCCCAAAGGCACTTGGCTCCTTTAGTTTCATTGACCCATCCCCAATGTTTACGGGAGAGAAAGCAGAAATTGCACCTGAGTCACTGAAGTATTTGCCATTGCTTCGTTGATGCGGTCCTTCCTTCCTTCCTTCTCGCGTCCCTCCCTTCCTTCATCGTATCTTTACTGCATGAACTTGGGCAAGTTACTGAGCCCTCTTTGAGTCGTGGTTTCCTTATCTGCCGGGGCAGTACTATTTCCTGTTGGGATTCCAAATAATGAGTGTCCATTGCTGGTTGAAATGTTTGCATGTTTGCAAACATCCAACAGATGTGGTGATCATTGGCTAAGCAGGGTGAGCAAATGGGTTGCCCGCTCCTACACACTCTGGGACACATGGTGACTCTGAGGAAAGGAACGGATGGAGGGAGCAGGACAGTCCTGATGCATTCTTCTGTCATTGGCTGGAGGAGGATGGGCAGCAGGGGCTGGGGACCTAGGATGGGCACATTCGGGAAGGACCATCAGCTAAAGCCCCAGGGACACAACTCTGAAACAGAGAAGATCCCGGAAAAGGCAGAGCTTTCCTTCATTTGACAAATCTATATTGAGCACCTACTGTGTGCTGGACACTGTGCCAGGCATCGGGGATTCAACTAAACAAGATGTAGCTTCTGCCTGGGTCGGGGCTCCATCTGCAGGGGGTAAAATAAGTCAGCAGATCAGACTGCAGAGGGTTGGAATGGCATAGCCAGGCCCGTGGGGATAGTAGGGGGAGTTCCTAACCCTGGACGGGAGTGTCGGAAGGCCTTCCAGGGGAAGAGATACTGTGTTAATGCCCAGCCTAATTTCACGGCTAAAGGAGACGAGGGGATTCCTTTTTACCTGCACACTCTGATATGAAAATAGAACAAAGACTATGCTTAGAATGCTCGCCACTTTTTTGGGATGAACAAACCCCTGACTTCCATCTCCTCTCCAAACAACTGCCGCTGTAGCACTGTGAAAAATGCGGTTGCATTTACATGCATGGCACCATAACAATTAAACATGGCCTTTTCTCTCCAGAGGGTCTTCGTATTAGCCTCCACATAAAAGTTTCTCAGGATGAGATTACTTACGTTTGTTAAATCTTCCTTCACCTGTCCGGGCGCAGTGATGCACACCTGTGATCAGCAACTCAGGGGGCTGAGGCAGGAGGATGGCAAGTTCAAGGGTTAGCCTCGGCAACTTAGCGACACCACAGCAACTTAATGAGACTGTCTTAAAAAAAAAAAATTAAAAGGACAGGGGATGTAGCTCAGAGGTAGAGCACCCCTGTGTTAAATCCTCAGTTCAAAAAAGAAAAAGTTTTCCTTCATCTGTAAAATAAAAATGACAGTACCTTGGGGAGAAAAGTTTGTAAGAAGGCAGTCATTGCAAACCCATTTTTTTCCGTTCTATTTATTCATTTAGCGCATTCCATTTGAATTCTTGTTATGGGCCAGGTGTGGTGCTAAGTGCTAGGGTAATGTTCCCACCAAACAGAACACAACCATGCTGTGTTTTGTTTTGTTTTAGTACTGGGGGTTGAACTCAGGCATGCCCTACCACTGAGCCATGTCCCCAGTCCTTTTTTTTGGGGGGTGGGGGTGGGGGACAGGGTCTTACTAAGTTGCTAAGGCTGGACTTGAACTTGGGATCCTCCTGCCTCAGCCTCCCAAGTCACTGGGATTACAAGCATGTATGACCATGCCAGGCCTATGCTCTGTTTTCAGGATGTACAAGGTGTAGACTCAAAACCAGGAGCAGAGGTGCACAAGTATAATTCCTGCAACTTGGGAGGCTGAGGCAGGAGGATCAAAAGATTGAGGCCAGCCTGGGCAACATAATGAGACCCTGTCTCAAAATTTTAAAGAAGGAATGGGAGCTTGGGGATGTAGCTCAGTGGTAGAGTGCTCCTATGTTCAATACCCAGGAACACACACACACACACACACACACACACACAAGCACAGTTGTAGACTCAATTTCTAAGGCCCAGAAGCCCTGTTTCAGTGCTCAGAAGTGGCCTTTCCTGTTGGGAATCTGCAGTTAGTTCCTGACCAGTTTTGAAAGGCAGGAAAGTAAGAGCCTAACCCCGAATGAGAGGACATAGTCAGAGCCAGTCAGAGTTCCAACTCTGGCCCCAGGAGATTTTGGACCGATTGTTAGAACCTCTGTTTTCTCTTCTGTTATGTGGAGACAGTAATACTAACCTCTTAGGCGTTGGTGTGCAGGTTAATGCCCCAAAACACAGGCTGTGTGCTCGGTTTCCCGTAGCATAAGACGTGGTGATCACTCTGTTATAGGAAACATGTGAGTGAATGGCAAACGGTGTGGCTGTGCCTTTTCTCCCCTCCCGTTCCTCCTGCTGCTGGCCTCAGAACTGTGAGAACTTTCTGAGGCATAGGACAACAGGACAACGGGGCCTCAGTCCTTTTTTTTTCTTTTCTTTTTTTGGTACTAGGATGGAATCCAGGGGCGCTTAACTACAGAACCACATCCCCAGCCTTTTTTTTTTTTTTTTTAAAAAAAGGACATCTTATTTACTTATTTTTTTTAGAGAGAGAGAGAATTTTAATATTTATTTTTTAGTTTTCGGCAGACACGACATCTTTGTTTGTACGTGGTGCCGAGGATCGAACCCGGGTCGCACACATGCCAGGCGAGCGCGCTACCGCTTGAGCCACATCCTCAGCCCCAAGCCTTTTTGATTTTCCATTCTGAGACAGGATCCTGGTAAGTTGCTTACAGCCTTGCTAAGATGCTGAGGCCAGCCTTGAACTTTCGATCCTCCTGCCTCAGCCTCCTCAGCCTCTGGTATTAGAGGCGTGCACCACTGTCCTTAGTTTTGAACATGAAAAGGAGCATGTTCAATTAGCTCTCAGATGCCTAACTGGGCCTCCTTCAGAGGAAAAGCAGGAGGAGCAGCAGGGGACAAAGATCTTGCTTCTAGATGCATGGTGTGACTGCAGCCTACGGGGAGCCAGGCAGAAGAAGACCTCCCCACTCTCCTAGGACAAATGTACACCCCAAAGCCATGCCCCTAAGCACCCAGCTCCTGCAGCCATACTCTACTTGCCTCCTACAGTTACACCTAGTTAATCCCTAAGGGTAATAGTGGTATGAAGAGGTTAAGGCTCTCGTAACTTATATGAGGGGACACCTCATATCTAACCCACAACAGTTCTCTTCTGGATCTGGTGAGGGACCCTGGTCCAGCAGGGCTGGAGGAAACAGGATGATGTGGGTGAGATGATTTCTTCAAGTGTATGTGTGTGTGCTTGTGTGTGTGCACACACACGCATGTGTAACTAGGGATTGATTCCAAAAATACATGTTTCCCTATGACCCTTATTTTATTTTTTATTTTAAGGCAGAGACTTGCTAAGGTACCCAGGCTGGCCTTCGACTTGTGATCCTCCTACCTCAGCCTCCAGAATTGCTGTGATTACAGGCGTGCACCACTATGCCTGGCTGTTCCTTAAGATCTGCCAAGAACTGGTCCCTCTGAGTAGCTCACAGCTGCCAAAGAGGGATCAGAAGGAGCCAGGGTACATGGAGAACTTAGCCTCCTCTAGCGCCCGTCCAGGGTCAGGGCTGGCTGTTCTGGGGCCTTCCTTCTACAGCCCTGCCTAGGTACCAAGAGGCAGGTGAATATGAGAGCTATACATCTTTTTGTTGTTGTTGTTTGTTTTTGTCTTTTGGTACCAGGGATTGAACTCAAGGGCACTTGACTACCGAGCCACATCCCAGCTCTATTTTGTATTTTATTTAGAGACAGGGTCTCCCTGAGTTGCTTAATGCCTTGCTTTTGCTGAGGCTGGCTTTGAACTTGAGATCCTCCTGCCTCAGCCTCCCAAACTGCTGGAATTACAGGCGTGCGCTATCATGCCTGGCTGAGAGCTATAGATCTTAATGCCACTCAGCAAAACCATAACCATTCAGTTTTTCCTTTAATAGCTTTTTTTAAAATAAGATTTTTAGTTGTAGATGAACACAATACTTTTATTTTATTTATTTATTTTCATGAGGTGCTGAGGATCGAACCCAGTGCCTCACACATGCTAAGCAAGTGCTCTACCACTGAGCCACAACTGCACTTTCATAGCTTTTGAGCTCCATACGCAAGGTCACACGGATAGATACAGACGATGAAGGAAATAAGTTGGGCCAGAGGACAGAGTGACCATGGTGCTATTAGATGTGTGAAAGGAAAGGGTTCAGGAGAGACGGGAAGAAGTGAGGGAGGGGATCGCATGACTTAGGGGAGAGGGCATCCCAGGCAGAGGGGACAGCAGGTGCACAGCTCCTGAGGTGAGGTGTGCAACCTTGGCTCCACCCAGGCAGAGCAGCCCTGGGTGTGAGCAGAGTCCCATCTAGATCCGGGGATTTAACACTCTCCTGCAGTTTCGGTCCCCACCCGCCTCCCTGCTCTCATTGCCCATCTCAGTTGGGGTGCTGCTAACTGCACCCAGAGCTCTGGGCGTGTTCAGAGCTGGGGGGCCTCACCTGCCCTTCCCACTGGGTTCCGTTTCCTCCTGTCTTCTCTTCCAGGCCCAGCCACACCGAGGCAACGGCCGCCTGGCAGTGAGCAAAGTCACTGTTCCTGTCTTTCTCCTACCACCTTCATCCTAAGCTTGAGGCCCAACAACAGCCGCCCA